GTCCTGGTACCCAGGTGGGCCCTGAGGCCACTGGCTTGGTGTGCCTGGTTGCAGGAGCGGGGGTCCAGTCCCTGGCTGCTAGCCCCGGGTTCCCAGGCAGGCCCCAAGGCACTGGTAGTGTGGCTGGATATGGGAGTTGGGACTGGTCCTGGCTCCAATCCTCAGGTTCCTGGGCATGGCCACAAGGTGCTGGTTGTGTGAGTGGTTGTGGGTGGGGATCCTGCCCCTGACTCCATGCCTCATGTCCCCTGGTGGGCCCCAAGGCATTGCTGGTGTGCCTGGGCCAGAACTAAATTTTTATCCTTTACTTACTTCTAACACGGGGGAACTTCCTGTGGGGACCAGTACTTGAATTGTGTAGTTGAGTAAATTGCTGCTTTGCTGCTGTTTCCCTAGGGAAGACTTTTTGTGCAGCTCAGGGTTCAATGGTTGACTTTATAGGTACTTCCAGCTCTCAAGGTACTTAGTGCACCTGGGTTGTATAGAAACTCTGATCTGGGCCTGAGTTTTTCATCAAACTGCACCCCATGCAATTCTGCATTCTCAACCAGTTTCCTCCGAGTAGTTCTATGCTGATTGGGAGGCAGATCGGCTGTCCTTGCTGTGTCCCAGTTTTCTCTCAGTGGGCCCATCTCCCCCGCCACCCAAGCTCCAAACACTTCTTATTGGATGGGCCCTGCACTGGTCCCTTGCATTGACTCACAGCCTCTGAATGGCTCCCCTTTTTCAGCTGTTCTGGTTCCTCGCTCCTGCGTGGGTCCATGGGAACCCTATTAGTGGTCTTGCTGTCCTGGGGGCCGCCAAGGCCCTCTTCTCTCCTGCTGCCTCCAAGTAACTGCACCTAAAGGGCACAGCTGCAGCTTCTGCTGGCTCCTGCTCCATGTGCTCCAGCATTAAAGCGGCTGCCACCTGAAACACTGAGAGCAGTTTTTTCTTTCTCTCATCGTGGTTTCTCTTGCCTTCATGAGTTCCATAGGTCTCTCCTCCTCTTCCCCTGAGCTCCAGCCACCCCAGCTTGGCTGATTTTACATTTTCATAGTTGTAAATTTGTTGATTTGTGGGAGACAGTGAAGCTGTGGACCGTCTATTCGGCCATCTTGACTGAAACTAGAACTATTTTATAAAGAAAACAAAATTTATTGCTTACAGTTTCTGAGGCTGGGAAGTCCAAAGTCCAGGGAACACATCTGGTGAGGGTCTCCTTTGGTAGTGTCTTTACAGCAATTCAAGGGTCTCACATGGCACAAAATGGCAGAGCAGAGAGACTCTCACATGCTCTCCTTTTTTCAAAAAATTTTTTTAATTTTTAAATTATTTTTGTCCTTTTATGAGACCAGCTGCACCACACTCAGCCAGTGAGCGCTGTGAGCACACTGGTCATCCCTATATAGGATCTGAACCCGCAGTGGGAGCGCTGCCACGTTCCCAGTGCCGCACCCTCCCAAGTGCGCCACAGGCTTGGCCCCACATGCTCTCCTTTTAAGGACCTCAGAGCGATGCCACTGGCCACGCAGTTATTAATCCATTCACTAAGTCATGGTCTTACAGTCTAATCACCTCTTCAAGGCCCCACCTTTCAATTACCGTAATGGGATTTCCCACCCACAGCAGTTACAGTGGGAATTAAGCTTCTAATATATGGAAATATTGGTGACACAATTCAATCAATCCACAGCACCGTCCACTGGAACTCCTCCCGAGATTACAAATGACCTTCCAGTTGCTAAATCCAGGGGACATTTTTCAATTATTAACTCACTGGCCTTCTTTTCTGCACTCCTCCTTGATAATTACCTCATCCTTCATCGTTTCCAGAATCAGTTTGTCCCTGGACCACTTCTTTGACCTATTTGTCTTTTCCCCTGTATCTCCCTATTTCCTTTTTCTTGTCCTGGTCTGTAAATGTGGGTCCTCTTCAGGGGCACATCCACAGCCCTCCTTAATAATCTACATACTCTCCTTTGATGATCTCACCCACTTCCTGGTCTCATTACCACTGAAATGCTGGAGGTAGGGGAGATGGTACCATACCATTTGTTACCAGGCACAGGGCTGGCTGCTTGCCCCCTTTCAAAAGCAAACCATTCAAAAATCAAATGTTGGTAAAAATGAAGCTCTTATTCAGGAATATCAGTGACCTGAAGAGTGCTGTTAGGCTAACCCATCTTTCTGGTAAACCCGAAGGAGGGTGGCCAAACTAAAGCCGTCTCCCAGAGTCAGTTTTACTGATGGGTTTTTTTTTTTTTTTCCTTTTTGTCTTTTTTCGTGTCCGGCAACGGATCGCAACCCTCAGTGTTGCGCCTGTACCGGACCGGGACCGGCAACGGGATCGCAACCCTCGGCGCTGCGCCCGCACCTCGCTCAGCCAGTGAGCGGGAACCGGTCTGTATGTGGGATCCGAACCCTCGGCGGGAGCGCCGCTGCACCCCCAAGCGGCGCACTGTAGCAGTGCGCCGCCGGGCCGACCCTTACTGATGGGTTTTTTTTTTTTTCCTTTTTGTCTTGTTTCGTGTCCGGCAACGGAACGCAACCCTCAATGCTGCGCCTGTACCGGACCGGGACCGGCAACGGGATCGCAACCCTCGGCGCTGCGCCCGCACCTCGCTCAGCCAGTGAGCGGGAACCGGTCTGTATGTGGGATCCGAACCCTCGGCGGGAGCGCCGCTGCACTCCCAAGCGGCGCACTGTAGCAGTGCGCCACCGGGCCGACCCTTACTGATGGGTTTTTAAAGAGGGGGTTGAGGCAATGGAATGTGGGAAATGAAAAGCAAAAGGGAGGAGGATGTGAGTTGTGGGGGCTCCATGCAAGGAGCCAGGTGCAAAGTCTCGCCATGACTATGTCTGGTTTCTGTTCCCATCTTTGTTGTTATTGCCGGGTCCTGCTGGAGGGGTGGAATCAGCATAGCTTTACTGATCTCTTTCTTAGTTTCCCAGGGTCTGGATAGTGCAAGACTGTAGTTTTAGGCTGACTGGAAGCAACTTTGCATTCATGTAAATAATATCATCTTGCCCCATGACCGAGGTTCAAAATATCAAATAACCATGGGAAAAGAGGAAACTCAGAGAAATGCATGCCAAGAAAAAAGCTGTGTCCTTTTAAAATCCTTTAGAGCCCATGCAGTTTTAGGTTCCAACATGGCTTCAGTCCTGCTCATGCCAGCACCTTGACACTCATCAACTTGAGACAAAAGTTATTTACATACTCGAGACTCCCCCTGCCTATATAAGCATCTCAAATTCAAGTGTATCAGGCTGAACATCTGCAACCTTTTTCTGCACCACCCCAATCCTGCCTGCCTTGACCCCCCTCCACCCACCTCCTTTCCATTACTTCAGTTGAGGTGTTACCATCCCATTTACCTGAACCTAGAACCTGAAAGTCATGTTTGGCTCCCCCCACCCACCCTCCCAATCCACTCAATATTCAGGAGCTGTTAATTCTACCTCCTTTTTTCTTTTGAATTTGGTCACTTCTCTGTACAGACATGGCGAATCTAGTGGAGACCAACAGCATCTGTCGCCTAGATGACTGCTGTAGCTCCCTCCTGGCCCTCCTGCCTCCAGTCTGGCCCCCTGCACTGCTTTCTCCACCCTAGTTATAATCTTTTTAAAGCTCAAGTGAGAGAATGAAATGACCAAATGCCTTTGACATTCACTACTCTTAGGATAAACTTCAAGCTCCTCAACAAGGTATTCAAAGCTTTCTGGAATTCTGTTTCTGTCTGCCTTTGAGCTCCATTTCTGGCCACTCCAACCTTACTCTCCAATTGCAGCAAACTTCTTGTAGTTTCCTAAACACGATATGTCTGGCTGATTTTTCCCCGCCCCCCTCAGGGTTCAGTACTCAGTCCCAAAGTCACCTCCTCCAGGAAGTCTTCTATGATCCCACAGGATGGGTTAGACGTTTCTCCTTAGTGCTTCTATGTCCCCTCATGAATATTTCTGTCACTTCATTTTCAATATTGATTTATAATTATTCCCATGTCCATCTTCTGCACTAGTTGGGAATTTCTTGTTAATGGCAGGAACTGTTGAATTTCCAGAATCTAGCACACAGTAGTCCCTCAGCAAATGTTTGTTGAATGAATAAATAAATGACTATGTTCCCTAAGGTTACATTGCAAGTAAGTTATAAAACTGGAACCAAAATATTTTGCACTCTAAAAACCATGTTTATTCCACTATTGTATTTACACATTAAGGTGTTTCAGGATCCTTAAAGAGCTGAATTTTAAGGGACCAAACCCTAGCATAAGGTTTTCCTTCCAATTTTTAAAATTGATTTTAATTTTTCAATAATACATTCGCATGGTTCAGTAATCAAACGGTATGAAAAGGTATTCAGTAGAGAGTTTTGTTCCCATTTTTCTCCTCCATCTTCCCAATTTCCACTCTCTGTCCCAAGGTAACCAATCTTGTTAGTTGCTTATATCTCCTTCCAGATTTTCTTTTGCACATGCATGCAAATATGAAGCTATATATTCTTCTTACCTCCTGACTTTTAGAAAGGTATTAACTTTTTTTTTTTAACTTCTCTACTTGTTTTGAAGTGGGTATGTATTAGCAAAAAGAGCTAATCAGTACCCAGCTTGAATGAACACAGAGAGGGAGACTTGGAAGAGGACAGCTATTTGATGAAGGGAGAAGATAATCCTGCCTGCTCACTGGCCTCTGGGGACATCCAGGACCTCCCAGGACAGAACCGACAGTCCAGATATCTCCCCCAGGCATATTCTCAAGCTCCCCAGTGTTACCTTTTCTCTGGAACTCTCTTAGGCCACTCCCCCTGATGCAATATCTGGGTTTGGTCAGAAAGGAGGGTGCTGCAGAGCCCGCCCTTCTGAGTTGTCGGGGCCGGCTCCTCTTTCCGGAACAATTCAGTCTTCACTGCGACTCAGACCTGAGCTCCAACATCTGTGTTCTGAAGCGAGATGGCTGAAATGGACAGAATGCTTCATTCTGGAAGGAAGCAATGTTCCAGGTCACACTGAGTCTGCCAAATGCAGACCCTCACAATAGTTCTAGGAGAAGTCTGGACAAATCTTACTATGTGGTGTTTCTACGCCTTTATTCCATGTTTGCTCATAGGTAAGTATGAATTAGAATACATACAATAGTCTGGGCCTCAAATATAGGTTAAGAAGGTGAAAAAAACTTTTCCAGAATTTGGGGTTGAAATACGAGGGTACTTCAAAAAGTTCATGGAAAGATTCGTATTATCTTTCAATTCTATTCTACACACCTCATACGTGTGTAGAACATTTTATGCCTGTTTTAAAAAAAAGGTTTTTCACCTAAATCTCCATCTCGATATTCCAAAGAAAAGTCTTGCATTCTGTTTGGAAATCTCTCTCTTAGCATCCACAGAACAATTTAGAAAGAAAAGTTATCAAAATTAATAGTCTAAAGGTTAGCAGAGCTCCATCCATTTTGTTATTTATCTCATCTGGTTTTAAAGGGTGCAACATAGTTCTCTCAGTCTTTCTGTGTGTGTCTTGAAGATATTAACTGTAAGGACAGATTAAAGTAAAAACTATTCTAACAAAATACACACAAATTACAAGACATAATCTGCAAGCTTAATGTTGGGTACAAGACTTATACAAATTAGATTTCTCTCCTGGTCATCGAAGAAAAAGTACTCCATAGCATTTAAAAAAACATTTGGTTTGGGGCATTTTCCCTGACAGTAAAATTACATAGTTTTCTCTGTTCCATTTCTGGTTGCTTGTACCTCTCTGCTTTATCATTCCAAAATTGCTGCTCCTTCGCCTTTGATGTTTCTTCGTGTCAAATCACATTTAAGAGAAATTTCTAATTTTAATACTTCAAAATACTGGGCACTTTGCAGTGTTGCTAAGAGCCTCAGGGACTTTCTGTCTTCTTTTTTTCCTGTTAATACAGAACTAATTATTCTAGTTGGTTTAAATCAGACAACAAATCAGTGCTAAGGCTATTTGCAAATGTTTAGAACTGGTTTAAGCATTAAATTTATGGTGTTCCTTCCTAGCTCAGAAACCTTCATAGCTCCCAGTTGTTCAGCACGTGATGTCCAAATTCTGCTGTTTCTCATGACCTGTCATATTCAGGCCCTACCCTATGTTTATTCAGCCCTATTTCTCGCTACTCCTTGGAAACAGATATGGACTGCAGGTAGCTACTGTCTTCACAGTCATATTAAACTCTTTCCTTTCCTTGTCCTGGCCTTTATTGTTATAATTTCCCACCAGAAGCACCATCTCCAGTTTCTTTCCCATCCCAAGCCCATGCTCCCCTCTTTATTCCAGATGTCTCCTTTCTCCTACATATCCTCCCCAGACCTCTCTGTCCTTTGCCCCTTGACCCCATGGACTCTAGTTTCAGTGGGTTACTTCTCTTTCCTGGGGGAGTACCCATAGCCCCTAGCACAGGCTAAGGATGCTGGTTGTTTGGTTAGTTTGTTGGTTGACTGTTTAGTGGTTGGGGAAAAAAGTTGCCAGGGAAACACTTCTCCATTCAGCCAAAGGGAGAAAGTGGGAGGCCGAAAGAGAAGAGGAAAGGCTAGCATTTTTAATTTGACATTTTCTTCAATGAGTTCAGTCTTTTGAATCTTTTCTTAAGACTAGATCATACAACTTCAGTTTTCTCATCTGCGAAACGGTCATAATAGCAACCCTGACGTTGTGAGGGGTTAAATAAGACGATGCAAACAAAATCACTTTGAAGACTTCAATATATCCCCCACCCCCAAATGTTAGTTATTATCGTCTGTTGGTTATGCAAACAGATGGTGGTGTCAGCAGATAATTGCTTTAGTTGTGGTGGCCTTTATGCAGTTTTGACCATTTCCTCTGGATTGTGTAGGTAACTGCGATGAGTTCTGCAGTTTATAAATGAACTTCTATTCATTACTAGATCACTGGACAGATGGGAAGAGTTGTTGCTCTCTTTCATAGAAATCATTTGCCCTGGGCCGGCCCGGTGGCGCACTGGATAGTGCGCCGCTTGGGAAGCGTGGCGGCGCTCCCGCCCGAGGGTTCGGATCCCACATACAGACCAGTTCCCGCTCACTGGTTGAGCGAGGCGCGGGAGCAACGCCGAGGGTTGCGGTCCCGTTGCCGGTTCCCGATCCGGTATGGGGGCAACACTGAGGGTTGCGATCCGTTGCCGGACACGGAAAAAGGCAAAAGACAAAAAAAAAAAAAAAGAAATCATTTGCCTTTCCCTGTCCCTTCCAAATAATAGTGCATGATTCCAGAAGCTGATTCCCACTCCCAATAATAACAGCAATAACAATGATGACCGTCACAACTGCAATTTCTGAGCACGCACTGTGCTCTAGGTTAGAGAAAATGTTCTCTTGATATCTTACATCAATTCTGCAAGATAGGTGTTATTATCCCTGTTTTACACATTAGGAAACAGCAACTCAGAGAGGTTCAGTTATTTTCCAAGTATTTATGTCTAGTAAGTGTTGTCATTGGGATTTGACTCTGGTTTGGCCGGCTCCAGAGCCTGTGCCCTTTGTACCCTGCAGAAGAAGCTGAGACATTGAAACAGGACAAAAAAAGAGAGGAGGGTCAAAGTAAAGGAAGTAAAGAAGATGGGGCTACCTTTTCTGATGCATTTGCCTTAAAAACTGTTGGATGTAAAGGTGATGGAAAGAAGACCCAAATGAGGGGAGTTGACATCAGACTCAGTGGGGGGTTCTTCTAGGGAAGAGGTAAGTTTGCCAAAGAGCATTGTTGTGGGCAGCCTTCATGGAGCTTCCCTTGCACAGATTCAAGATGTTAGGAAATAGGCACTCAGCATAAACCTTAGAGCAGCAAAAAGGTCTAATTTAAGATGGATGGGGAATTAAGAAAAAAGAATTCAGGCCTAGCCTGATTTCCCTAAGGGAGCCAAGACTTGCTTCGCTTGCCAATCTGTGTTTGTTTAGCACCTCTGAGCACCTTTTAATGTGCCAGGTTTAGGGCTGGGTGCTGATTAGAGAGATGAACAAAACAGAGTCCCTTTTCTTCAGGGAACATAAGACCCTGGTGGGAAATATACCGAAGTCTTTGGCATTTGGGGATTTAACATAGTTTTAACTATTCCTTAGTCACTAGAAGGTCTACATCAGTGGTACCCAGTCTCAAGTGCACATTGGAATCATCCGGAGAGCTTTTAAAAACATAAATGCTGGGACTTCACAGCCAGAGATTCTGAATTAATTTAGAGTGCTGCCTGGGCATTGAGATTTTTCAAAACTCCCTGGGTGGGGCTTCTTAGAGAAGTGGTTGATTCCAGGGCTAGGCAGGGAAAATACAACATGAGACAGGAGCATCCTGTGGTAAGTAATGCAGTGCTTTAAAAAGGATGGCAGCCTAAATGCAACATAGTATCCTGGATTTGATCCTGGAATGGAAAAAAGACCTTAGTGGAAAAACGGAACATTCAAATAAAGTCTGGAGTTTAGTTAATGGTAGTGTACCAATGTTGGTTTCTTAGTTTTGACAAACGTGTCATGGTTATATAAGATGTTAGCATTAGGGGAAACTGGATGAAGAGTACACAGGAACTCTGTGTACTATCCTTGCGATTTTTCTGTAAATCTGAAATTATTGCAAGAATAAAGAGTCTATTAATGAAAATAATATGAAAAAAGAGGGTGGGAGATAGAAACAAGTCAAAAAGGACACAGGTGTCAACCAGAAAGAGCTCCCAGTGGCCAAAGCCCAAACAATTTGAGTAACTAAATAACAATAGTGTTGGGCAGTAATCATAGAATAAAATAAATATCCATTAGTTCTTACTGATATAAATAAATCATCGAATAAATAAATAAATGGTGGAGAAGAAAAAACTCTTTCTTACAGAAGAATCTAATTAAATAAAAAATTGCTATTAGAGCATCACAGCAATAATTGTTGCAAGTAATATCCACCTATGGTTTGAATGTCCCCTTCAAAACTCATATTGAAGCTTAATCCCTGATGTGTCGAGGTGTGGGGCCTTTGGGATGTGATTGGACCATGAAGGATCTGTCCTCACGAATGAGTTAATCCATTCATGGATTAATGCATTAATGGATTATCAGGGGAGTGGAATGGATGGCTTTATAAGAAGAAGGGATTCCTGAGCTCACACATGAGCACACTCTTGCTCACTTGCTGTTTGATGCCCTGTGCCACCTTGGGACTCTGCAGAGAGTTTCCACCAGTAAGAAGACCCTCACCAGACATGCCCCCTTGACCTTGGACTTCCCAGCCTCCAAGATTGTAAGAAATAAATTTTGTTTCCTTATAAATCACCCAGTTTTAGGTATTCTGTTATAAGTGACAGAAAACTAAGACACCACTGATATCTGTTAAAATTAATGAGTGAAAGTTTGAGGAGAAAGAGAATATTTGAATAGTCTCAAAGTATCTCCGCCAAGGTATTTAATAACCATGAAAGAGGAAATGGTAACTTTACACTAGAAATGCTGCCTTGACCAAGTAATCAAGGTTAACATCACCAGTAATAAGACACATTGACGTCATGTACTCCCTTTGAGTACATGGCAAAAATGTATAACTTCAATCAAATGGTGTGAAAACATCAGACAAAACTAAACTGAGAAATATTGTACAAAACAACTGGCCAGTACTCTTCAAAAATATCAAGTTCATTGATGTCATAGAAGTAGAGAATAGAATAATGGTTACCAGATGCTGGGAAGGGCAGGGGGGGAGGGGTTAGTGGGTACAAAAATACAGTTAGATATGATTAATAAATTCTAGTGTCTGATCACAGTAGACTGTCTATAGTGAACAATAATTTATTGTATACTTCAAAATAGCTAGAAGAGAAGATTTGGAATGTTCCCAATGCAAATGATAAATGTTTGAGGTGATGGATATCTCAATTACCCTCATTTTATCATTACACACTGTATACATGTATCAAAATATCATATGTACCCCATAAATATGTACGATTATTATGTTTAAATTAAAAATAAATTAATTTAAAAAATGTCAAGGTCATAAAAGACAAAGACTGAGAACAGATTGGAGGAGACTAACTAGATACGACAACTAAATGTGGAGTCCTGGATGGGTTCCTAGGGGGAAAAAAAGAGCATT